CGGAGAGAGAGCCTTTTGCAGTTTGAACAAATAAAGAGGAAAGAAAAGAAAGATGTGGAAGATTTCTCCATAAACTAGATACCAGCAGGGGCTACTGCACACTTCGCCACTAGTTAAGACTGTTTTGTTGACAGTTAACTCCTCCTCCCCTTACTCTGCTGTTAGGTTCTTTACCTGGGACTTCAGCAAGTATTTTCTAGTTATTCTCTCTTTTATGAAGTGATGATCATTTCTTTATTTCTGACCCTCCGCTTATTAAACTTGGCATACAACACCTTCCTTCCCAAGATTCCCTTGTGAGCTTCTCTCTTCTTGCTGCTATATCAAAATACCTTAGACTGGACAATTAATGAACAACAGAAATTTGTTCCTCACAATTCTGGAGCTCGGGAAGTTCCAGATAAGTTAGTTACCCGCAGGCCCGGTGTCTGGTGAGAGCTGCTTGCTGTTTCCAGGATGGTGCAAGTTGCCTGCCCTCATGTAGCAGAAGAGCAGAAGGGCAGAAGCCCTTTTCAGAAAGTCACTTGTCTTTAGCCAGGTCTCAGCGTGAGCTTTGGACAGACACACACACTGAAACCACAGCATGGAGCAAAGAGCAACTTGTAGTAACTGTGTGCGCTCGACTCCCGGGAGGAGGGGCTTGTAAGGAGCACAGACCGCAGCACCACGTAGAACAGCAGTCCACAACCTTGTGGGCAAGCAGGAGTCACCGTCGCGGGAGACAGGTCGCTCCCGGGCGGGGGGGTGGTCTGGGGATGATTCACAGGAGCGTGCAACCCAGACGACCCTGTGCACAGGGAGCTCGCTGTAGGGCTTGAGCTCCCTTGAGAATCCGAGGCCTCAGCCGACCTGACGCGCGGTAGAGCTCACACGGAGTGACAGCGGCCAGGAATGCAGCTCACCTCTTGCTGTGCAGCCCAGTTCCCCTGCACTGTTACTGTTGGGGTCCCCTAACCTAAATACGGTCCAAGATGGAATACTGGCTGTTCTGGTCCTCAGGAAGTCCCTTGTCCATTTCCGCTGAGCTGGATGCAGTGCCCTCCGTGCCACACAGTGCCCTGTCCTGCTGCTTCCGTGTCTCCCAGGTGCAGCTAACGTGTTTTTTGTTTGTTTGTTTTATTATTATGAAGAGCATTTCCGCTCTGGCCCTGACCGCCTCCTTTCGCGCTCTGTATAATTAAAGATTTATTAATGTGCTTTGCTTAAAAAAAAAAAAAAAAAAAAAGCTGGATCCCCGAGAAGAGGTGTAGCAGGTACGGAGAGGCTTCTGGGATTCTCTCTCAGGGCACAGCGCCCCCTACTGTCCCACAGGACACCCGCATCCTTGGTGTTATCCAGGCCCAGGCCGACCCAGAGGAGGCGGGCTGCAAGGCCCAGCCGCCGCCCTCACCTGCACTCCCTAGAGTTCGCGACTTATCGGAAAGACTTTTCAGAACTAGCGATTTTAACCCTGAACTTTACCTGTAAAAGAGCTCTGCTCCTGAATTTTACAAATTCGGGGATGCTATTTTAACGGAAGCTCAGCAGAAATAAAGACGTAAAACAGCAGTTCGTTGTCAGTTCACATAGGCAATGGATCTCTTTCTTCTTCCCTTCCTCCTTTCCCTCTGCTTTCATTTTCTTACTTTTTCCTTTCCTCCCTATCGCCCTTCCCCTTCCCCTTTCTCTCCTCGCCCCCTCTTCCTCCCTCCTTTCCTCTCTCTCTTCTTTTCATAAAACCATCCAAAACACCACAGAATCTCCTTCTGCAGTAGTAATGTTATGTGGTGAAAAATACTTTGCTTGCTTTCTCCACCTTTTGAGGCCAGTTTTCTTTTGGCTAATTTTCTTTGCCTTGAGGTGACACCCTCTCTTTCTGTTCTCACGCTCAGCTACTTTGTATCCTGGGTGTGAACCGAACAGTGCAGTCAGCGTTTAACTTAGGTCACAAAAAAGGGCGACTGTGTATGTTTTAAACTGGTATTAAGGCTTTGAGTCCACTACAACTTTTAAACTTTTTTCCTGCTTTGTTCTACTTAGCCTGAAGGGGGGTGGGTAGTGATAATCAAACGTACAAGGAAAAAAAAAAGTTTTCTTCAATGATTCTAAAACCACAATGTGTGAAAGAAAGTATTTTTTCTTTTATGCTTTCAAGTTTTGAGTTTGCGAGTGAGCCGGAGTTTCCCACTCTCTCCCTCGACGGTGAAGAGGAGTCAGGTGGAGCTCAGAAGGTGCAGGGCCACCAGTGAGCTCGCCCGCGGCACCCCACCGGGTCCTTGGATTCTGCCCATACTCGGTGCAAGGAGACCTGCGTGGGAAACTGCCCAGGCCACCGCAGGGTGCTGGGTCCTCCTTTGGGGCAGGAGGATCACGAGTAACCGTGCACTGTGAGCGCAGGAGTCTGCCTACCACTCTGACAGTGGCGGGCAAAGAGGTTCTGATTTGTTCTCAAGCCCGGAGTTAGAATTGAACGGTTCCACGCACTTGAACAGATTCAGTTGCTCATTTTTTGGATACTGTTATTTGGTTTCTTCTGTTTAAAATGTTCATCTAGGATAGAAGACACTTTTAGTCTTTCAGGAAAAAAAAAAATGGCTTTCTTGACTCAGTTAGCAAACGGCATGACATTTTCTCTTCCAATCTAGCGTAACCCATGGATCTGCTGGAGATCATCTTGGGAATTACTCTCTCCTGTTTTCGTGTGTGAGTGTGTGTGAGTGTGTGTGTGTGTGTGTGTGTGTGTGTGACAGGACTCACCATGAACACAGGTGATGGGTCTGTCGCTTGTCCCTGCATGAGGGACAGATCTGTGGATCTGTGTCTCTCCTGTCCTACATCCACAACACCCCACAGTACTAGGGGCCAGCAAAGGCTCTTGTCCTCTTTCCCCTTCTCTATTTGTGAGCATTATGAACTCATCACTTTGAGCAAAAACTGTTTTGAAATACATACATACAGAGAGAGAGAGAGAGAGAGAGAGAGAGAGGAGACGTTACCTAAACAGACCTGTCGATAACAGCAAATAGAACCCGAGTTCTACCATAGAAATTAATGGCAACTCCCTTTTACTAAATTTTCTCTTCTCCATTGGCAGAAGTCCCTGAAGTGTGTACAAAGTGCCGCTGAAAGGTATGCACCTTACAGCTTTCCCTGGAGGTTTTCCTTGGGCCCTTATGTTTTGTGGGTTGTTGTCAGGAGGGAAGATTCTGGATCCTTAGTGAGGGAAGAGCTCCGGAGAGCAAGCTGACTCCTTCCACTAAAAGCCCCCGAGGGAGACAAGGTAAGGCAGTTCTGTGCCTGGAATTGATTTTTTTGCACTACCGAGAATTGAACTCAGGGCCTTTTCGATGAGCTATGTTGCTACCCCCGCTCCCCCTTTAAAAATTTGAGGCAGTCTCATTCAGTTGTCCAGGCTGGCATCAAACTTGTGATCCTCCCGACTCAAGTCTCCCGCTCTGTAGCATTACAGACTTGTGCCGCTCCCCTGACTGGAGACAGTCTTGGTTTTAGAAACTGGACCTTGGAGCAGAGTTGGTCATTCGAGCAGAGGAAGAGGTGAGACACTAGTGTGGTGATAGAATCCTAAGAGGGGTGCCCTGGGCTGCTCTCACCCCGGAGAACTGGACCCATGCAGGATGGGCAGGGTCTTCAATTACATGTAGGTTTCTCTGGAAAGAATCCTGCCTGACTTCTCTCATTCTAGGATAATTATGAACAACACCTCTTTCAGTTGCCAAGTGTGTCAAGTGTAGATCACTTTTCAACAGTGACATCGTGTGGCCTTGAGAAGCAATCGCAGTGGATCAAGGTGTCTCAAGATCATTCCTGGCCAGAGCTATCCACACTCCTGACCATCGAGAGGAGGAGAACTCCAGAGGGAGTTGGGATACAACCTGTTTATAGGGCATCTGGCTGCTCAGTGATTTTAATTGTCAGGAGAAGAGGGGAGGCCGTGAATTACTGAAGGAGTTTATACCAGTCAGAGACTTTTTATTTAGAACCCTTGTTCACTACACCTCCAGAGAGTGGATTAATTACATAGCTCTCATGCTAAACTCCTTGCAGCAGTTCTGAAGTATGCCAATCTATGATCTCCAGAAGGCAAAATTTCATCGGTGGAAGACCTGAAGCGCCCTACAGAGATGAGTTTGTTTAAATGCTAGAGTTTAATGATGAAGTTGACATCTGTATTTCCCTGTTGAGCATCCCCTTACCTTTGTACAGGAATGGAGCCTCTTTTCTTGTGGGCAGCATGCTCTACATAACTGAGGTGGGACTGACTCCCTTATCTCTGTCTTCTCCCTTTACCTCGTCACAAGGACACTTCACTGCTTGACAAATTAGAACTCTTGTGCTTTAGGCCACATTGACTGTGGGTAAAGTGTAGGTAACTGATTGCAGGTAGGCGGGCTTGTGCTCTTCTCTGGACCTTATTGATAGAGCTATTGGAAGACTTATTCTGCTAAGGCTAGGAATCTGGTATTAGAGAATTTGGGCTTTTTCTTTTTCAGCCATCCTGCTACTAAAAGCACAATCTGACAGAAAGAGAGAGGAGCAAAGCAGATGACACATAGAAGACTGAGGCCTCTGGACCCAGTCTTGCCCAAAGCCTCAAACCTATTCTATTCATTTTTTTTATTCCATGAGGAAAAATATATTTACATGTCTCTTTCTACATATATATAAAATTATGCATATATATATGTGTGTATATATATATATATGTATATATATATATATATATATATATATAAAGATCCCTTATGCCTTAAGCCAGTGGTGGCATTCCTACGTGTTATTTGTTTTTCTTTTAAGATAAAATATGTTAATGAATGAATTTTTTTCTAAACCAAACCCTCGATATCCAGGTTTGATTGCAGCTTTGGCACTCTGTGATTGAATAAGTGAGCTTGGGTTGTGGTTTGGGCACTCATCTCTGAAGGTTTGCCATCATTGCCTTCAGAGTTCCACTATAAACTGGGAGCAAACTGCATTTAAGGATTCAATCTCTGCAGGTGTTTGAGATTCACTAGAATCACCATGCAACTCTGATTCTGCCCAACAGCTGTTTAATTCCTCCAATGGTCAAGTTTGTCTGCTGGCGGGCACTCTTCAGCTTATCCACACAGACACAGAAAGCCAGTGACAGGGCTATTTACTGGGCAAGGTTAATCTCAGAGAAATGATGCAGACGAGGAAGGTTCAGCTCAAAGGCAAAGCACGAAGGAGAAACTGAGGGAAATCTCTCCGCTCTGCAAGTTCCACCATCTCCTACCCACAGCTTTGGTCTAACTTGCTTTTGTTGGCCCCGATTGCTTGTTGGAATCAATGAGGCAGCAGGTCCTCTGTCTCAAGCGTGAGCGATGGAAAGAGGAAACATCTCAGCTTCCACAAGTTGCTTCTGCTCAGTATCTTTGGCAGTATATTGACAAGGAGATCTGGATTTATGAAAGTTATATGCAAAAACATATATCCCAGGAGTCTGACCACAAATAGGATGATGAAAAAGAGACAGTGAAGAATCCTGAAAGGAGAGAGAGAGAGAGCCAGGAAGCTGTTAACTAGAGGTCAGGAAATGTGGAACAGCATAAAAGAGTCAGGAATTATTCATGTGCTATATTATTCATGGGTTAATATTATTCATGTCTGGATCCTGCTTGAAACCCTGATGTCTCTCATTATTATATGGTTGTCTTTCCTGATTGCAGTATAAAGGCAGCCCCATCCCCACATGCTGGTTGACTGTATTGCTGTGTTTTAGTATCTTTGTGAATGTATCATTATTCTAAAATAATATTCCCTTTTTTTTAGCAAGTTGTTTTCTGAAGGTGTTGCATCAAATTATACCCCCACCAGCAAGGTGTGTATTTTTTGGAGACCCACATCCTCTCCAACACTTCATATTATCATGTTTTTAAAATTCCGCCAATCAAGTATGTGCAAAGTGTGACATCTCTATCGGTCTCGATTTGCATTTTTCTGAAGAAAAATGTTGCTGAACACCTGTTCATGACTTATTAATTTTGTGTGTTTCCTCTCACTAATTCGTCTACTAGTGTGGGCTTCTCTTACTGATTTGTGGTTCTTTTTATATTAGTGATATCAACCCTTTTCCATTATGTGTAATGTTTTATGTTTCCCCAACTATAATTTTTACTTGCTGTAAGGTATTAAGGAACAAAAGTTCTTAATGTTAACATTTGCTTCCCGTGTCATATTCAAAAAATAATTTCCTACCCTAAGGCTGGAAAGACACCTTTTTTAAAAAAATTAAAATTCTGTGGTAGTTTAAAACTATATCCACACCTTCTCTGTTAATCTTTTCTTTAAGAAATCTTCCTTCAATGTGGTAGGGATGGGAACTAATGCTTCGTTTCTATGGAACAGAAAACGGTGGAAATCACAGTGCCCTCGAAGACTACTTCACAAAGATGCTGTGGCCTCCCCCCGACTCTCAGAGGGAAGCAGCATGATAATGCTGTGCACATGAAGCAGCCTTTGGCAGGGGCCCAGTTTTGCAGGAACAGATCGCCTGCTGAGCACTAGGAAAAACCTGCAGGACATGAGAGTAAATTACTTCATAGCTAGAACTTCCAGCCAAAGACCAGCCTTCAAATGACTGCAACAGCCTTGAGACAGACCCTGAGACAGACCTGCTTGGCTAAGCAGACCACAGAAGAGTGGCTCATAGACTCCATGAGATAATGTTTGCTGTTTAAACCACCGCATTTCTTATTTGGTGGGGGGTATTCACTATGCAGCATAAGATAAAATAATTTTATGGATGTTTTTGTTTGTATTGACATATAAGTCTTTAGTGCATGCTGTTTTTATACTGAATGTAGTGGTCCAGTCTTCTGCTAACATGGGCTGCTGTTTTTCCTCTGTGCTTTGCTTGTTGAGTAAACACTCCTCCTTCTCCTCTTCCTTCCTTATTGAACAAGCCACGTTCTCTTCTCACATGCGATCCATGTCGCATGCCAAAGTGCCAAAGGGCTCTGTGTGCACTGTTTCTGAGTATTGCTCATGAACAAAACTGACCATCTAACTGCTCAATTTATGAATTTCTTTGCCAGTTTTGTACTTCTATGCTTACCGTAACTGCACAGTAAGACCTACTATCTAGAAAGGCATGTCCCACACTTCCTGTTTGTCTTTAAAATTATTTAGGTTATTCTTGACTCTTTACTCTTCCATATCTAGTACATTTTACGATCATTTTATTCAATTTTATGAAAAACCTTTTTGGGAGTTTGATCAGAATTGAATCTACTAATCTTGTGGAGATATCTGTTATCTATGATATAAAAATTTATATCCGCTATCATGGTATTTTTCTTTTTTATTATCTTTAAAATTTCCTGATAAATTTCTATAAAATTCACTCTTGAAATCTTGATTTCTTTAATTTAATTACTTAGTCCTTCTTATTTTAAAATAATTTGCACAAGCAAACCTCTCTGCCATTTCCTTTTTCTACATTATCCTTTCCCAGCTATGCCAGGCTGCCCTCTGTGTCAGGACAAATACCCTACCCACCTCCACTAACCTGCTAGAAACAATCCTTTCCCTGCCAGCTTTCTCAAGTTTTCTTCTACAGTTATCTTTGTGACTAGGGCCAAAATTCATTTTAGTACAGCAGCTTAGTCAGAGTTAGAATCAAAGACCTTAACAAACCTTTGCTTACCTCTCTCCTCAAGACTGGATACAGTGCTTATGGGAAGGTTCTGGGCTTACATTCCCAGAGAAATCCTAGGATAACCTAATTTCCTGTCTTGAGTTACTGCCTTACTATACCAGTGCCCTATAAGGTGTAGGGAAAGAACAAGAGGAAAGATATTTAGCATTAGATATGATGATCTAGACTCACAGGATGTCTCTGCTCAGGATCCCTTCGAGATACCAGCTCTCTTCAGGACAGGCAGTCCATATCCTACCTAGGTGATTCCATGCTGGGCTCGGGGTTATATAGACAGCCTAGATTTCTGAGGAAAATTCTGCTAGTTCTTACAGAAATTTTGTATATAGGGATATTGGAATGTGTAATACCTCACTTATCTAGTGTGAAGGTGTTGTTCTTAAGCAAATTTTCCACACAATTGGAGCTGACCTTTCAGCACCATTAATTTTATGTTAACTCTTTTGATGGAACCTGTGAAATCATATTTCATACTACTTTGAATATGTTTCTTTATGCATTCTTAAACAGATCATATCAAACACGATTTGACCTTTTCTTGAAAGTGTAGGGGCTTCATGAATACCAGTTTTACTCTGCTATTTCAGTGATTCCCTCAGGAATAATATCCACACAAGTGTTTGAATTGTGAGTTCCTTCTCGGTTTAACAAGCATTTTTTGAGTAGTTATGACATGCTGGATATGATTAAGTGCTTGCTTTGCAATCTCTCTCTCTCTCTCTGTCTCTCTTCTATCTGCTCTCAGGAAGTAGTAAACTTGCATCTGGGAGCACTTTAATCCATTTCTAATGAAATGTTACTGCTGGGAAATCACATACACCATGCCATTTCAAATTGTCAAAATGGAAAGGGAACAAATACAAGATTCACCACATCTAGTTTTAGGTGATCAGATTTCTGTTTTTTACTAAGTTGTTGGCTTCTAACACTGGAAAGCTGAGATTAAGTTGCCTTTGAATGATGAAGTCATAACATTAGAACTGAGAAATGTAGTTGACGCTGGTTTACTGACTTGAATTGTGTGTGTGTGTGTGTGTGTATACAACGTATTTATTATCTACATTTTGCTTTCTGCCAGGATGGCTGAGAGTGCCCCTAGATTTCCAGGATGTTTACATAAAGATAATTTGCTTACCTTTTACCCAACCATGTTGCTGTTGTGGGGACAGAAATACACTGGGAGAATAAGAAAAAATATTGATAAATAGGCAATTTCTGGAAGCTAATATCACTGTCAAATAATATGTAGTGAGGTATTCATGAAACATTATATTTAGAAAATACAAGTTCTTTTGATATGGATAAGTGCACATAATTTTCAAAGATGGAAATCTGACGTGTTTATTACTATTGTTATTTTTATTGCCATTTTACTTACTAATATGAAGAAACTAAGGCACAGAGAGAAGTTTTGAAAACTATGACAATGTAAAGGTGAAAATTTCATGGAATTTCTCTTCCAAAATATGTTATCATTTATTTGTTTGTGGTTTTAACTTCCTTGTGAGATCAAAAAGGAGAGAAATGATCAGATTTTACAGTTGTAGAAATGAAGCTCACAGAATTAGAATTAGAATTAGAATTAGAATTAAAAAATTTATGGATTACAAACTCAGTTCTATAGCTCAAGTGAGGTTTTGTGAATTGCCAGATCGTCAATTACTGAGGCAGCCTTTCTGTGAACTTGCTTAGTAGCATTAGTAGGCCATTGTTACAGCTTATATCTAGATGTCCCCCAAAAGCCTCGTGGGTTCATAGGTATGTTTGGGAGGTGGTGTGTTTGCTTATATGATGTGATAGAGGTGTGTGATACTTGGATTAGCCTATTAACTGTTTTGGCATAGTTCTGGGTGTGGCTAATGGGAAGGCCCACCCTGCGTGTAGGCAGTACCAACCAATAGGCTTGTAACCTGGATGGAATAAAAAGGGAAAGGAAGGTCTGCTGCTTGCTGGTTTCTGTCTATCCTGCCATGGACCATTTCTCCTCTGCCATGCCCCTATTTCACACTGCCCTGCTTTAGAGGAAGTTGACTATGGACAGAAACCTCTATAGACTTTGAGCCAAAATAAACCTTTCCTCCTTTATTTGTCAGATTTGGATATTTTGTCCCACCAAAGAGAAGAATATCTGAAACAATCATCAGACCATCAAGAGATACTGATGTGCTTACTAAAGAAAATTCTGGCTTTTCTCTGATAGCTGGTTAGAAGGAATAGTTTGGTAAGCCATGGGGTATAAATGGTGGAGCATGCTTGACTCGATTCTAGAAAGCTGAGTATAGTTGATTTTAGGAGCCTTGTTTGCTGAGTGGAACATACAAGCTTAGGGACTATAATGAATTGTTTAGGACAATGTGAGCTACAGTTATCATCGACATTTTCTGACAGAACCCAAAGACCTGGATGATACCAGGACAATGTTCAATGATTTGTATATTCTTTTAAGGACAAGAGGATTTTTAAAAATATTATTAAGACAACTTATTTTGACTGCATAAAATCTGTGGTCAGTATAAATTATAAAATTAGACTTCAACAAAAGTTTATCTCTCTGTTTGAAAGAGTCTGTCTAAGTTGCTGATTTTCCAATGCTGTGCTTGGACTCAGGATTCCTCTGCTTCAGTCTTCCAGAGTGTTTGGATTACAGATGTACACTACCATGCCAGCTTCTAAAGTTTATCATTTAAGCCTGTGTCATAAGCCTTACTGTTATAAGATACCAGGCCTGGTGCTCTACATTGGGAAATTCTGCCTCTTTCTGACATTTTTGTGGGATCTTGAACTGCATGATGTTAAATATGGACAGGCATGAAGTTGTACCACAAAGGAGCAATTAATGTTTAAGATGTGATTGAAAAACACGGTGAAGTCAGGTATAGTGGTCCATGCTTGTAATCATAGCCCTCATGGAGGCTGAGGCAGGAAGATTGCTCTGAGTTTGAGGGCAGCCTAGACTAGACAGTGAGTTCAAGTCCAGCCTGAAGTACATAGTGAGACCCTGTCTCAAAAAAAGCAATAAAAAAGAAAAGAAAAATATGGTGAGTACTTAAAAAATTTTAAAAATAAGTGTTATAATAAAGGACATATTGCTATTAGTTCCCCTCAAAATTGCATCACTTTTGCTTCTTTCTGAAGTAGTTCTGTAAGTCCTCTTTTGAGTCTTTACCAGGCATGATAAAAAATACAGTGAATGTTGCTGTTGTATGTCATCCAATGGGCAAGCAAGCTCGTAAAAACATTACTGTGCATCCTCATCTATCTTATTCACTGTATTTGGCACCATGTGACTTCTAAGTCTTTCCCCAAATAAAAGATCGTGAAAGATAAACATTTAGAATTGACACAAGACTTCTCTGTAGCCAATGGCACAACTGAAAGCACTCACAGAAGAGGACACTTCCAGAGCTGTTCCAAAAAGTGTCAAGAATGATGGATTATGGTAAGGAAGATTAATATAATCTGTCTTTTATATAATATATTTAAAAATCTTTCTAACATTAATCAAAATTTTGGATCATACTTTGTATGCTGCAACTCCCAGGCCGCCTCTGATGAAATGGTAACAGGTGTCTAGGGTCCTGTGTTGGTAACGATCTGGCACTATACTGGGATCAACGGGAAAGAGCACCATGAGTTCAGGGGTGGGAGAGATGACTGTGGGCCATGTACCAGCCTCTGCTGTACAGGGCACCCCCTCCTTGCTTCCATTCTGATTCCTCTTAGGTCTTAGGTTAGTTTTTGGAGAATCTGTCGTTTTTTGTGGCCTTAAGTTGAAGGTGGGGGTTGCTGATTGTTCCTGAACACCTTGTTTGTTGTTTTAGGGGCAGCATGCTTTGGGATAGCAGTTCTTGGAAAATGCACATGGGAAAATTGGGTGTGTATTTGGTGATTTAAATTTTTTGAAAGCCAGTGACAGTAAGAGGCAATGAAGAGGGTATGGTGCACTTACCCCATTATTTTGGCTTTCATGGTTTCTCCTCCTAGGGCCCAAGCACAAGACTTTTGATCTAATGGTAAAAGAACCAAGAAAGGGATATAAAATAGTATTCAAGTATTGATACCCCAGGATAGCAATTGAAAGACAGCTTTATCATCTAAAGGTACATTCTGTAGTGCTGTAGAAGCTGAGTCGGTGTAGCTATTTAAATTAAATTAATAAAATAAAAACTCTTCTGTCATACTAGCCCCTCTAAGTACTCAGTAGTCACATGTAGTTAGTAGCCACCTATTGGAGTGCGTGGAGATTTTAACACAACCCGGTACTAGGATTTTTGCTTAATTAATAGTCAAGCTTACTTAGTGCTCAGCAAGGATCCTAGAGAGTTGGAGGTGTCTTTTAGGAGAAAGGAACTCCAGGTCTGAAGACCCTGCTTCTAGCTCATAGTTTGGCATGTTTAGAGGCTGCATACAGCTTTGATTTAATTTAATAAATATTTAATAAACAGTAATATTTAATATACAGTAATATATTTTTACTAAGTTTTACCTTTAAAAAAGGGTCAAGAAATGAAGGTGAGGATTTTGGTTTTGTGCCATTTATACTCTTAACAAATTTAAGGATTAAGGGGCTTTTACTTTATCGTTTCCAGTTGTCATATTCAGAGTTCAGTGCAGTATATAGTTTTGAGTTTCATAGTATGGTATCTGTAGGGTGTCTAGAGATGAGTCGCATCACTTTCTTGTATGGGAGATTTCCACATATTTGGAGGAAGTAGGTGATGATATTACTTTCAGGACCTTTCTTGATATACAGGACTATCCTGTTAAGGGGCCTGCCCGCTAACACTTTTGAAATACATGTTTCTGCACCCAGCACAAGCCCAAATAATAATGTGCTACAATTATTGAGGATGATGTATTTCTGTACTCTTTTTAAGACTGGAATTCTAAATGTAATATACTATATTAACAAAGTCAAGGACAAAAACCATTTGATCCTCTCGATAGATATAGAAAAAGCATTTGACAAAATTCAACACCCATTCATGATAAAAACTCTGCAAAAAGTTGGAATAGATGGTCTATATCTCAACTTAATAAAGGCTATCTATGAAAAACCAAGAGCCAACATCATATTAAATGGCCAAAACTGAAAACCTTCACATTAAAATCAGGAACAAGTCAAGGATGTCCACTATCACCACTCCTTTTCGATATAATCCTAGAAACATTAGCCATAGAAATTAGAAAAGAGAAAGAAATTAAAGAAATAAAGATAGGAAAGGAAGAAGTTAAACTATCATTATTTGCTGATGATATGATGCTCTACATTGAAGACCCAAAATACTCCACCAAAAGACTTCTAGACTTAATTGACACTTTCAGCAGAGTAGCTGGACACAAGGTCAACATTGAAAAATCAATAGCCTTCTTGTACACAAATAACAGACTCACTGAGAGAGAAATTAGGAAAAAAATTCCCTTCACAATAGCATCCAAAAAAATGAAGTATCTAGGAATCAATCTAACAAAAGAAGTAACAGACCTCTACACTAAAAACTACAGCGCTCTGAAAAAATAGATGAAAGAGGATATAAGAAAATGGAAAGATATCCCCTGCTCCTGGGTAGGAAGAATCAACATAGCGAAAATGGCCATACTACCAAAACTGCTATACAGATTCAAGGCAATGCCAATTGAAATGCCAACACTATATTTCACAGAACTAGATAAAATAATCCAAAAATTTATCTGGAACCAGAAGAGACCTAGAATAGCAAAAGCCATCCTAGGCAACAGACATGGCAGTGAGTATAACAATTCCCAATTTGAAACTATACTACAAAGCTGCTGTGATAAAAACACTATGGTACTGGCAAAGAAACAGACCTGATGATCAGTGGAACAGACTGGAAGACACAAAAACAACTCCAGATGTACTCAGCTACCTCATCTTTGACAAAGGAGCTGACCATCCTCAGTGGAGGAAAGATAGCCTCTTTAAAAAATGGTTTTGGAAAAATTGGATCTCAACCTGCCACAGATTAAAACTGGACCCTTATCTTTCACCATGCACTAAATTAAAATCCAAGTGGATTAAAGATCTAAATATTAAAACAGAAACATTAAACTTGCTGGAAGGTAAGTTAGGCAGAACTCTGAAAGACATTGGCATAGGAAAAGACTTTATGAACAAATCCTCAGTAGCATGGGAACTAGCAGAAAGAATCAACAACTGGGATCTCACCTTATTAAAAAGCTTCTGTACTGCAAAAGAAACCATCAACAGAACTAACAGACAATCTACAATGTGGGAAAAAATTTTTACCAGCTGCTCCTCAGACAAAGGACTATTATCTAGAATATATAAAGAACTCAAAACAATCAGCTCCCCCAAATATAAAGACCCAATTCAAAAATGGGCATCCAAAACGAACAGACATGTCTCAGACAAAGAAGTAAAAGCAGCAAGTAAATATATGAAAAAATGTTCCACATCACTGGTCATTCGAGAGATGCAGATGAAAACAACACTGAGATTCTACCTCACCCCACAAAGAATGGCTGCTATCAAGAAATCAAACAATAACAAATGTTGGCGGGGTTGTTTGGAGAAAGGAACCCTTCATTGTTGGTGGGAGTGCGGACTGGTGCAACCACTGTGGAAATCAATATGGAGATACCTCAAAGAGCTTGGACTAGAGGTTCCATTTGACTCAGCCATCCCTCTGCTGGGTATCTTAAAAGAATCAATGTACACACCTATTTTTATAGCGGAACAGTTTGTAATAGCTAAAACTTGGAAACAGCCCATTTGCCCATCAGTTGGAAACTGAATAAAGAAGATGTGGTTTTTCTATAAAATGGAATACTACTCAGCCATAAAGAATGATAAATTAGATTCATTCATAGGAAAATGGATACATATTGAGGATATACTCCTAAGTGAAATAAATAAGTCATGCATGTATAAATACTGAATATTTTCTCTGGTGTGAAAAACTAGAATAGTACGTATGATCCCAATGAGATAATTGATAATGTGGAATAGGAAGAAAAGGGCTAAAGGTGTAGGGAAGGTGGGAAGGGTAGGGGAAAAGGGACAGAAAAAAAATAGGAGAAAATGAAAAAAAATAGGAGGAAATAAAATGTTTGTAAATGGGGAGGGGAGTAGGGGGTGAAGGGAGGCAGGGATATGGGGTAAAAATGAGAACCATGACCTGCCATGTAAAGGTACACGATCCCAATAATGATTGTAAGTGTACTGTATACCTACAGTGTACCAATAAACTCAATGAGGAAAACAAAACAAAACACGGAATTCTACAGTTTGTGTGGTCCAGCAGGGCTCAGCCAAATCACTAACAGACAGGAAATGTGTTCCAGGTAGGAACTTCTGGGAATGCTCGCTCTGCCTGAGCTTGCAGTGCTGTCACCATTAAACCACGATGTTCTTTTGTTAGCCAAAGCTCACACTTCTTTCTGAAGGAATCGTGTCTCTACCTCTTCTTCTAGTCTCTTCAGGGTTTCCTGGTACTTCTTCAAAGAAAGAAGAGAAGCCACAGTTACTTTTTACATAGTATGTTTTTCTAAACATATATTATCCATTTTTTTTATTTGTACGTGTTTGTAGTACCTAATGTTTATATGCCTTGTGTGGAGTTGGTTCATGTGCAGGACACATCTTAATGCCTGTTTCCACCCCTTTCTCTCCCTTCCCCTCCCTCTCCCTCCCTCTCTTGGTCCCCGTCCCATTTGAACAATCTACCTCCCTACTTCCTACTATCTTTTATTTTGCTCTTTATGTATATTTTGAGTTTCTCATGTAGGAGAAAGTCAAGCTTGTGATATTTAAGTCTGATTTCTCTCGTTTAACATGATGTTCTCAAGGTGCATCCATTTTCTTACAAACAAGTACTCATTACACTGCAACACAAATGTCTGGTGTTTCCACCTTTACTTCTGCTGCTGTCACAGACCCCGCACGGCTGTTCCTGATCTCTGACTGTACCTTGTCACGGGCACTGGGAACGGCTGGAAGTGCTCATCATAGGGTGGGGTGACTGGAGAGTCCAGGGACAATAAAGTGATATTGGCAGTGGTCTGCTGTTCACTTTAATGTCTCTTTGCAGTGCCGCTGTGAAAAAGCTAAAATTCTCCTAAATAGCATTTTTTGAACAGTCTGCTTCCATTTCATCCTGCCCCTTAACAAGCATTTTTCTGTCTCTCTCCAAGGAAGCTGTACCTTTATGCAGAGAGCTTGGTCTTCACAGAGCTGGACTACAAATGTATAGTCTTCCATGACCTGGGAAACCAAAATTGGATCTTAAATTTTTTTCTCAGCAAGTTGCTGTAAGAACAGGGATTTACATGTCTCATCTTGCATCACGGACTCGAAATTGAGTTTTCTAATTGTTCTAATTGCCTTTTGCAGAGCATATAAACTCATTTCATTTTGGGGGTGCTTTACAAACCATGTTTCACGGTACAAATGAGATGTGGGGCCAGTTGAGAGAAAATGATACAGAGAGGTGAACTGTACAACACAAAGGAAGGTGACATGGTAGGGGTGTTTGTAATTCATGTTTTCTTACCACTTCCTGTTCCCACAGTGGCCCCCAGACAGGAACCTGGTTATATAGGTCAGTCATATGTGGAATGTATTAGATTGGCCACAGATCAAGCGTCCCTTTGTTGGGGAGAAGTAACATTGAAGGCCTTGTTTTACCCTCACCAGTTTCATTTCTTGGTCTGTGCAGGAGGCTTGCAGCTGCTGTAACTTAACCTACAGAAAGGAGAGGAGGCTGGTAATCAGCAAGGTGAAAATAGCCTGTTATCTCAAGATTATCTCCCAGGCTGCTGAAGAGCATGAGGACACAATTTCTGGTCTTTTTTTTTTTTTCTTTCTTTCTTCCCCCTGGTGTCTTTTTGATGGAGAACCATCCAGTGCTTTTTGTGTCTTCTTGGCGAACTTATGCCTCCACTTTCAGCTTTCATCTGGGTCCTATTGTCACCCCGGAATTCTAACCCTTAGGTTCCTTGTCTCACTTAGCTTTTTCTTTTGGAAATAAAATCAAGTCTTGGAAAAACCTTTGCTCCTTCCTTCCCTTTTCTAAGTCAGTCAAAATCCAGGGCTTTTGCTTACTTCTTTATCCCTTCCCATGTTTTTTTCTTTCTGCTTCTTTCCTAAATAGATAAAATACTGTTTGTTATCAGCCACTTTGTGTGCATGGGGTAGTGCTGGGGCAACAGATGGACTTTCCAACCTTACAGGGTGACATCTAATTGGGGGACATAACAAATAACATGATAATGGTATGTGATAGAAAGGAATTAAAAAAAAAGATTGATGATATTATTAGGGCCTGGTGGTGGTATGTGGGGATGATGGGCTGCCTCATGAGGTAACAGTTGAGTTGAAATCTAAATAATAAATGTTTGTAAAATGGAGATATGGAAGAAATACATTCTGTGGGGAGGTTATCACCAAGGTCAAGATCAGAAAGCGGGGTAAATTGGATGTTCATGAAGTTAGACTTCTGATAGGTGGGAGGAAAAGTGGGAAAGTCAGAAAGGGACTGGATTACGTAGGCCTCTGTAGCTTCTGAGAAGGATTTGGTTCTTTGTTCTGATTGCAGCAAGAAGCCAGGAGAGGGTTTGAAGTATCCACACACACACTCCAATTTGTATTTTTAAAAGCAGATTTTTCTGTGTATGGAAAATGGATTGTTTAGGGTTAAGAGTAGAAGCAAGGAGGGTGGTTAGGTGCCCAGGTTAGGTACTTCAGCTGCCCAGGTTATGGCAGCTTGCAGAAAGGTCAGAGTAGCAATTTTTATCTCTATCCATTGCATTTGGGGCTAGCCAGTCAAATAGTTCAAGACACAGCTTCAGGCCAAGGGTATGAGTCATAAGGGATGGAGTGTGCATCTCATTAAGCTGCTGAATTCCTCCCTATATCTCAGTCAGACTTTTAGACCATTAAATTATGTGACTCTGTGGGGGCTTAGCATCTGAAACAGAAAAGGATATTTTATGCACAATCTCATTGTATCCTCAGTCTGAGGCTGGAAGGGAGTGACTACCTTGCCCAAATTCACACACCAAATTAAGTGCTGGAGCTAAGATTTGAATGACAGATTTTTGAACTGCTTGAATTGTTACGTAGCAGCATTTCTGCCTCATTCTTCCTAACAGAAGACAGAGAAAAACCACCTGGCTTCAGAGAGAAATTATTTACTAAGGGCAGCGGAGGAGAATTCAGCCCTTACTAGCTCAGGCTGAAACCTGACAGGAGAGAAAAATTCAAAGCATTTAATCCAAGTTTGACATCATTTCTGATTTGATGGCTTGTTTCCTGGTCACGCAATCCAAACCCATTCAGGATACTTTTTCCTTTTACCTTCATCTCTTCTGGAGTTCTGTCCAGATCACATTGTTCACACTTGGTTATCTTATGTGATTTCTTTGCAAGCTACAGTTTCAAATAAAAATATATATTTCCAATAAAAATACACTCAGTAAAATAATAGTGAAGTACACGGCATGCTCTGTAATGATAGCTTGATAACATATGTCAGGCCACGGTCCCTTGGAAATACTTGATGCTCTGTGAAAATACCATATTTCTACTCTACTCTCTTTTCACTAGTCTCCTATACCAGGGCTAAAGTCTGTTCCAGACAAAATACTCCCAAGAACTCCTGATTCCTGCTGGGCTACACAGGGCATGGATTAGAGAGTAGGGAAACCAGAAGAAGCCCATTATTCTCTGAACAGGGGTTGAGAGAAAGGACATGCCCAGCTGGGGAAGAAGAAATCACTGGGGACGAAGGCCCTGTGTTTGGGCATCTTAAAGTCTCCGTGAAAGTAAAATTAACCTCTTTTCATGAAGGTCCCAGTCAATCATTTCTACAGAGCATCTGTTGGAATCTATTTTCTTGTGAGAGAATGAAGAACCCATGCACAGGATCACTAAACATCTCATCCACTCCTTTCACCTCTTGTTCAAAGACAAAGACAGTGACTTCCAGGACTAAACCTCAGTCTTAGGAGTGGGTCATGGGGTAGTACCCACTTCAAGTTCAGGCCTCTCTGATACAGGGGCTCCTTCCTTCCTTCCCTTGCCTCTTTGGGTAATGAGGGTGCCGTGTGGACACTGGGGAACGCAGAGCTCCACCCCACCTTTCTCTGCAGTTCTGTTGTACTGTGGACTAGAGTCTCGTTCTTCCTTTCCTGGGGAGAGAAAGAAGCCAAGGTGTAAGTCAGCATCGGTACACGATAATCATCTGTTTCAGTGCAGCCAACTGCTGTCCATTTCACTCCAGCAATATTTTCCTGAAGTAACTCCACCTTACTTGCATGATATAAGTACATCTTAAGATCAGACTATGGGTAACGTGTGGCCCAACTCAGCAGGAATATAGATGCCCACTTGTGGGGTTTCCCAACTTTAACATTAGCAAAGAAAGCCTGCTCTCCACCCGTTACCTTCTTCCTTGCATATGGACATATGTCATGCATTTGCATGTAAAAAAAAAAGGGAGACTAAGATGGTCTGAAAGTTGAGGAAAGGCAGGTTGAGGAGTAAAACCTACAGAATGACTTTTCCCAGCTTCACACTCACAAGTCTGGCTGTCTTTTCCTCCAGCTCCTGCAAGGCTCTTTCCTTTTCTAGCAGAGTAACGTTTTCCTTCTCCTGTCCCTCATCTTTTGCTGCGTCTCCCATCTGAGTGATCTCACTTTCTAGCCTGGGTGACACAAGAATGGTGATGACTCATGAATGGCAGTTTTGGAACTGCCAAATAACAGATGTCTGTTCTAAGGATACTTTAGTAATGATATATGTGTAGTTCACATGGCCTTGAAAAAGCTGCCCTGTTTACTGGATCCGTGGAGTCAGAATCACTTCTGAGGCGTGCCAAGTAAGATCTGCCTGATGCCCAGGCCAAACATCCCAATGTTCACTTAATTTGGATAAATATTACCCAGTTTGTAAATAATCTACTTAAAACTTGCCGTTTCACCATTTTGACAAGAGAGAAGTTTCCAAAAATGAAGAATACACCTACTGTTTCACAAGATACAGGTCTCTAGAGCAAGTAGGAAAATTCGGTTTTGCCTTTTCTTCTCAACCCTTTCCTCTGGATGGAAAATTCCCTCCTAAATCTCTACTACGTACCTCTGGATCTCATGTTCTTTCTCTTGGATTTTGAGAAGCAGCTCCTCGTTTGCTTCATCTATTCTCTGCAGGTCCTTTTCAAGGTCCGTGTTCAAACTGACAATGTTTCTCTTTGATTGGGCCAATTTTAAACTTTCCATTTTCTCTGACCTATAGATTAAGTCCCCAAATGAATAAAAGCTGGTTATCTTAAGATCAGTAATTATTGGGCCAAGAGGAATACCATTTAAGAAGACAATTCATCAGCCTTGCTCTTCCTAAGAACATAGTTTTACTTTTTCATTCTTAAGAAATTATATTTTTTTAATCATGCTTTATGATTTGTTTCAGGATTTCTCAACTCAGCAAGGGAAATTTTTCCTAGGCTTTTTCCTCCAACGTGCTCAAAATAATAGTGCACCTCCACATTGGTTTAATGAAGAACTTCGCTTCCTTAAATAGCCCCTTGCACTGGAGAGACTTGTTTCCCTTAGCAACCTTTTCTTAAATTGTTCACAAAATCTGCTCATGCACTACACTTTTATTGGTATTTTTATCTAGGCACCTGGTACATTACTTCTGGTTGGGCTTAGTTTTATGCAAAGATGAGAAGGATTTCTACCCTTGTGGAAAGGGCTTCCATCTTTCCCTCTCTCTGCCTACCTCTTCTTTTCTTCTTTTTGCCTACTAGAATGTTTGGGATTAGGCCATGACAGCCATTCCACTGAGCACATGGAGATAAGCTTCAGGCTCAGCCTCCAAGAAGAGAAATATCAACTTTGAAATAAATTTGAGTGAAATAATTGATAATTTTAGAATAGAAAGGCTTCCTGATATATGGGGAGGGCTCTCAGTAAACTTTCCTTTTTATTGCTTGTAAATGAATTCATTGGTTTGTCTCTGAAGCAATTAACCAGAATCGGGTCCTAAGGCTTAGGGGCTTTTTTTGGAGGGCAGGAATTGAGTATGATGTTGGGAAGCAAAGTGTCACCTTGAAAAAGCTGCCTTGGAGAATTTACAAACAAGAGAATTTACAAAAGTCAGCCCTTTTTGAAGGAATGGGGTGCTTGGGAAGGGTGCAATAGGGCAGATGTAGAAGGAAGAGATAAATCAGAACGTGAGTGAAGGAATTAGCAACAGACCTACACCACACCTTGGTCCTTGGATGTGGTTTTACATCATCACAATTACTTACTCATAATCTTGCTGATCTTCCTTGTGATCTTCCATTTTGGATTTTATAAAATGCCAGCAGAGATGTAGCTAATGAATTAGAAAAATGGTACATTCAGGAAACATGTAGTAATTGTGACAGGAGTCCCCTACCTAGAAACTAAATGGACTTGTTTCTTCCCTCCTACCCCCTCATTCAGCCTTGAACAATCGCAGCCTCCTGTTTCTTCTGCACATGGTCCGATTACGCCTCAGTAAGGAAATGATGAGGATACAGGGAGAAGGGTGGAAAATTCAATATGTGTCCTTCTAGACAACACATTCAGAGATGGTTTACCAATATTTACCTATTTATAAATTTATATGCATCACTAGGAAGAAATGAAGGTTATCAGTTGTTCTAAAGTCCCCTTTTTTCTAAACCAAGTTGTTCTCCTTAAGGCCCCAAGAGCATAGATACGGAGCATCACTTGTCTGAGAAACATCTCTGCTCTGCAGCTGGGCCTCCATGTGGACTTTGGGTTATTAACATAGTATTAAAGACAGCTCAGAAAACCAAGCAGAGGTAAATTATGTGGCTCTCTTGGTCCATGAGTTTCTACTTTTCTACCATTTCTTCTACAAACTCTACTTCCCTTCTGCTGTGTATCGTCTTCTGATCCTGCCCTGGTCAATTGGCTTCTGAAGAGTCTAGCCTTTTCCTACTAGAAAAGAATCTCAGTAGAATCTTAGAACTTTCTGAGCGGTTGTGACTCTGCATGTCAGAGTGAGGTGGGTGGCAACAGTTTCTCCTTCACATAGTCAGAGCCTCCATTGGGTCTGTGGGCTTCACACTCCAGCCTGCCGTAAGCAGTGGTAGGATCCGTGGATCTGATTTCTGGAGTATATGAAGGGATAGCCATTTTCTTTTCTTTCCCTAGTAGATAAGCCTTCTCTTCAGCACAAATGTGATGAGAATGGGAACTATGGGTCTTTCAGCCAGATGTCTGATCCCACTATGTGCCCAACTAACTACTCATTCAAACGGCAAACATTTGAAACACTAAAAAGCACCTATGTTTGCCAGGCACATGGGGAGAAAGAGTGAGTGCAACAGCCCAGAGAATTTCTGATCTCAGAACTCACCTTAGAAGGGAGGTGTGTGTGTGTGTGTGTGTGTGTGTGTGTGTGTGTGTGTGTTTGGAGGGACACAGGAGTAACAAAGTCAGCAAACAGTAACTTATTTTATATGATAAGAGAACAGAGAAGAAACAAGTGAACAGGATAAGAGGAAAGGCAGTGTGTGTGTGTGTGTGTGTGTGTGTGTGCGCGCGCGTGTGTGTGTAGTCAGGGTGTCCCAGTTTTAAACTGAGTGGTGTAGAGAAAGCAGCTAGGCCTGATCAACCCTGGAAGTGGTCAGTGGCTGCATGAAGAAGCTCAGTGGACAAGGGAAGAACTTGGAGTGTGCAGGGTGAACTTAGCTTTTCTCTGCACCTGCCACTAACTGGCATGGCAAAATGAAACTTTAAAAGTTAGATTTTTTTCCTTTAGAGACAAGTGGCTTCTCCAGACTCAAGTTTAGAGCACAGATTGCCACCCATCTCTCTTCTGGCCAGATGAATGGACAGATATGCAGATGCTGGACCAGAAGGTCAATGTTCGATTTCCTTAGTCAAGGGGGATGAAACAAGCATGAAAGTATCTACTGTTTCAGAATTCTTCCTCCACTTTTCCTTGTTAAAAAATATCCTAACATCCTGTACAAAGTGAGGTTACAAAGCCCATCTATCCCTTCAGAGCTAGCTTTGAATAAGCTAGCTTATTTGCTAGCTTTTTAGTAAAAATAAATCGTGCTTTTTAGCAAAATAAATGGCCTCCTCTGATTTGGTCAGTGGTGAGCAAACGAATCAGTGTGTGGACCTGTGTGGCTGGTAGCACCACTGTGCCAGGAAAGGGAAGAGCTCAGAGAAAGAGAGAAGCCTCAAGAGACAGAGAAGTTGCTCAAAAGAGGTTTCCAACATGGAAATTTCTGTGCCATGTCAAACTGTCTCCGTTGGGTTTGTCTTGACAACTTTAGGAATAGTTCAGTTATAGAATGTGAGGAATGTACTTATGTATACCTGAATGTGTGTCATTTTAGACAGATTCTTCATACTTTCGAAGGATTTGTGTATACAAGTCAAGGAAACCTGTGAAGTTTTAGATATCTACTTGAGGAGGGCCACAGTGAGTTGATTTGTGAGGTAAAGTGACTTCTTAATATACTATAGTTTCTACCAAACTATTTGTAAAATTAATGGCCTCTGATGACCCCCATTACCATCTCCCTTCTTCCTGAAAGAAGGCATTTCATTGCTTTATGAAGCTGTACACAGAAGAGTAATTAAGTAACAATTCAGGCCAATGGCCTCTCCCAGGAATTAATGGTAGGGAGAGTTCATTAACCCCAGTTGGTGATAGCTTCTCCAGGAAATGCCCTGGACCAAGGTTATCCCAGCTGTTAATGGATTGGATAGGGACTTAACTAGGATAAAAATAAAGTCCATCTCCTTCCTGGGGAGCTTTTCTCCTTGAGGGGCTACCAAAGGCAAGCTGGCAGGAGCTGCAGAACCTCCAGTTTGGGGCCTGGCATGGATGAAGACAACAGATGCTACGAGTGAACACTATTAAATCAAGGTAAAAACAAGGCCTTTGGGGCAAATTAAGGTCTTTGATATAAGCCTTACTGCAGTGTTGGGTATGGCTTGATTAACACCCAGTGCAGCTCTAATGCAGCTGTTTTCCTTGTTATTTTTTTTTTTCTCCCTGCCCTGCCCTGCTCTGTGCAGAACTGTTTCTGAGAATCATTGCACGTCTCACTTGCTGGGGAGAACGCTACCTCTGTGCAAAGTTGTTGGCAAACATCTGCTCTGTTCCAGGCTGAGCTCTTTGGCTGCATTTGTTGGTCCTTTGTCCTTTACTGCGAGGAGAATTGTCAGGTGCCCTGAGTCTCTAGTGGAAGGTGCCCGGGCTTGGCCTGTCTGGATACCTCAAGAATGGATGCTCTTTTCTTACCTCACCTGGCTCACCCTTACTTTTCAAACTGGCCTTGGACATTGTTATACATGAGCTGGCTTTTTAAGGCTCACAGTCAAAGGAAGTTCTACAAGCTCATTCTGGAGTACTGTTCCTCACATATAGCTTCAAATCTGCGATTTTCCTTATATCTTTTCTTAGTGACTTTTTGTACAAACTTTAGTCTCACAAAAAACTCTGAATTTCTTTTTAGAATACTTCTCTCAGTATTCTCAAAAGCAGAAATTTGAACTGTGCTGACATATGAAACAGAAAGATAGAGATAAAGAGGAGGAATGTACCCATGGACTGATACAGCATTGGTCCAGGTTTTTAAATTTATATACATGTCAACATTCGGACTTGATAAAAATTAATACCTAATAGTTTGGAGATTTTGAGCTGGCAAAATTGTATTCTTTTTAAGTTAAATGTTTTTTTTTAAACTTATCAAATCACTACTACACAATAGCAATAAAGAACTAAAAAAATGAAAGTTCATCAAGAATCTTCCCTCAGCAAAAAACAAAACCCACCCAAACACTGTGTTTTTCTGAGTTTTTTTCTGTTCTCTATCAATTTACCCATCTTTTATTAGTGATCATAAAATAGATATATTATAGAATTTTTCCTTTTCATTTAATGTTTTTATAAACATTTTCCTGCTGCAAAATAGTCTATGTAATTATTGTTTCAATTACTGTGTAAAATTCTGCTAGGCTGCTGATATTCGTACTTTACCTTCTTACAGTACTTCCTATCTGTCTCCCCAATTGGACCACGGGCTTTTGAGAGCTCCGTGAGTGCCTGCCTTATCTTCTCAGGCTTCCATGACAAGGTGTGCCAGACACGTGGCCTGAACACCAGGAACCCTTTCTTCACAGTTCTGGAGGCAGGAAGTTGGAGTTCTAGGTGTTGGCTGGTGGCTCCTTCTGAGGCCCCTCAGAGACTTGCAGATGTTGCTTTCCGATGTCCTCACATGGTTGTCCCTTGTATGTATCTTGTGTCCCATTCATCTCAAAAAGACATCAGTCACATTGGATGGGGGAGAACTTATGGCCCCCACGCCACAGCGGGCTGTACACACACTGAGAGCTCTAAAAGGTTTGCTGTCACTGTATTAGGACCTATCCACATCACCTCATTTTTACTTAATTAATTATTTTAAAGGCCCTGTCTCTAAAACTGGTCACATTCTTAAGTACTGGGGCTAGGACTTCAACACAAACATTTGGGGGGCCACAGCTCAGCCCATAATAGTCTCTACATTTTCTTATTAACCCCAGTGCTTGGGAAAATACTTTAAAAATATATTTGTGGGACAGAGGCTGGGGGATGAAGGCTATAAGTTAGTGGTAGAGGAGCTGTGCTTAGCAGCATGAGGCTGTGGCCCAATACCTAGAATCCTTCCCAAAAGACAATATATTTATTAAATTCATTTTGCATTTTGCAATATTCTCAAAATGTCAAAGTTGTATATTTTTTAAAACTTTTTTTTTGAAAACACATTCCTATTCAAAAAGATAAGGAAGAAGGAATAAATGTTTTGCTGGGATTAAAAGAAAATCTACTAGATGTATGATTATAACCTGGAAACTTTCTGGTTCGTTCTTCTGTAACTCTGGAAAAATGAAACAGGAAAATGGAGTCCCTCAGCTAGTGTATAGAGCTGGAATTATGGAGCACTTATCCAGTGCACCCTTTATATTAATGACATTGATTTTTGTTTTCAATAGGATTGTTTATTCTGAGGTTACTGCCTCTTGGTAGCAGCTTTAATGAAGCTTTGCTTTATTTTAAATTTATATCTGTTGGTTTCGTGTTTCACATTTTAATTAGAAAGATTGTCAAGAGGAGAATTCCTAAAAATAATAAGAGCCTCTGAATGTAAATTCTTATAAAAATTCACACTGAAATTTGCTATAATTTTGTACTAACTTTTTGTTTCCTAAGTCTGTGTTCTTTCTGCTGTACATAAAAAACAATCACTTACCTTTTCTAATTAGTCCCATTTGATGAGTATAGAGAACACTTCCATATATTGGGAATTTGGAGTATCTTGTTTAACTGAAATAAAAATATGCTGGGATATTTGTATGATAAGTGATTTTTCATTAACCTAGACCATTTCTTCCACAATTCTTTTTTTATTTAGTACTTTTCAAGGACCCAATATGTACTGGTGGAGATACTGAGATTATCTAAAAATGACCAGAGTACTCAGTTTTATAAGGGAGACATGTGCCCTACCATGTGAGTACTGTATTATTCACAGCCTTACAATGTGGCAACTGTTAGGGTGAAGCTTATAATAGGGAGGACATTTTATGTGTAGGAAACCAAGCTCAAAGGCAGAGACTGCTCAGTAAAGAGTAAAAAATTCATTATAGTTTTTGTGTAGAAGAGTACATCCCAAAGTGTGTTTACATTAACAATGGATGGTGTAACAGATAATTTAGGTCGGATGCAAAGGTAAAATTTTTAGTTTTAAAATAAGTTTTAGTAACACTAGGCAAATGTATAATTAAGTTACAAGTAGCGCAATTCAATATAATTTATAGATATTTCTTAGAATAAGAATGACTTTTATTTAATTGAAAACAATACTTGTCTTATAGGAAAGTCTTAAGTGAATTATTCTGAGGAACTATGGTGTACCAAAGACAGTGAAGTGTTCTGAGTGTGCTGGAAATGTGGAAATTAGTGCAAGAGTATGTGGGGTGTGGCATGGTGCAGGACCAGCTAGGCCAGGTGGAGAGCCATTTGGATTTCATCTTGAAGGTGCTCAAAGAGGCCATAGAGGCGATTAAGCAAAACAGTGGCGTGGCTATTGTGTTGGAGAAATATAACTCGGGCAGTGAAGAGTGACTGGGAGGAAGGCAGAAGCCCCCAATGCTTTTCCATACTGTGCGTTAAGATCAGATATCTCAGGGGAGATATTATTAGATAATAAATGGAAATGGTAATAATTATTAGATAATATTATTAGATAATACATAGAATGGAAGCTCAAGTCTTTATTGTGCATTTTTCCCTGTTGGGAATTGTCTTCTGCAGATCTTCCTCCTATATAAATTTACTCTGTTTGGTTTATAAAGGAAATGCTGAATATTTTATATACATGATGTTTATGAAATTTGAATGTCAGAACAGTTTTGATCCTTAACTCCCCACTTTGATCTGGTGATTGAATCAATGCCTTGACCAAGTACAAATCCAGATTGTTTGGTCTCTGATTTCTTTTTTTGTATTTGGACTAATTCTTTCTCTAAATGGAAATTTACATCCCCATGACTTTTTCTGGTTGCTTCCAGTTACAAAACAATGTATCAGTTCAGAAGCCAAGGGGTCTGGTATTATGCAATAATCAAAACTCTGAACTTGGTATAGAGTTGAGGCTCCTCTGTCCTCACTGGAAGTGGAGTCCCACTTTAGGCAACTGGGTTAGAAGGATATTCTAATATAGATCTCTCATGTTCCCTGAAAGGCTCATGTATTCAGAGTGCGGCTTTTTGGAGGTTGTTGAAATACAGATCACTGTACTTGTCAGTGGATCAACCCACTCAAGAATTCAGAGCTCAGTGTGCTGTTAGAAGGTGGTCTGGTTGGAACAGGTGGTCCCTGAGGTACATGACCTGGCTTTCTGAGATATGACCTTCCACCCTGGCTCTTCTCTCTAATTCCTGGCTGCCATGGGAGCTGTCCTCTGCCCTGATCCTGCTGGAAACATGAGTCAAAATTCCTTTTCCTTCTCTAAGTCATGAGTGTTGAGTATTTTGTCCCAGAGATGAGGAAAGCGATCAAGACAGAGAATCTGTTGACATTTGTTTCTACATGAATGACATTGATTCAGTCTCCTCAGAAAGCTGGGTATGATTTTATATGTCTGCTAGGTAAGAAAAAGAACTTTAAAGTTCTTACTTGAGTGATATGAGTATGTACTGGCACTGTGCTCTAGAGCCTGGTTGTTATTTAAATCTTATTCTTCCTCTTATGGATGTTCTTCTCAATGTTCTGGAGGTTTTCCAGCAAATCTCATGACATATATGGGATCTCTAGTCCTGTCCTGGGCAATTACATGTCTAATCCAGCCATCACTTGCATCTTTTTCTGCAGTGATGTCTTGCTTGTGTCTCTTTCCTGATCTCTTGCCCTTCTAAGCAGACAGGACTAGCCATATAATTTGGAGGACTCAGTGTAAAATGTAGAACCTCTTACTAAAATCCAAAAAAGGATTTCAAGGTCTAGGGGTCTACCTCAGTGATAGAATGCTTATTTAGCATGTCCAAGCATTGGTTTCAATCCCTAGCAGTTCATTTAAAAAAAATCAAACCAAAGTCAAGAGAATGTTAAAGCGAGCACAGATTTCCTCTGAATGCACATCGTTGTATGACTGCACAAATCCAGTGTTCATGATCTGGCCTGCATATGGCTCTAGACCTAAGACAATCCTTTGTAGTTAGGATATCTTTACATATTCTTTGAATAGTTCTGGAATGCAGAACAAATCCCAGTGTTTTACTCTGATATCAGAGCAGTTAGCTAACCTGTGTCATGTCTCTTGTATTTTCCAGATGCATCAGAAAGCAATCCTCTGTGTCCTCTAAGCTTTAGAGGACACACAATAAGATCACCTCGTGGGCTCCCTGAAAACTTATTCTTGTCTTAGTATCCCATTGCTGCTATGAAAAATGCCCACATACTTTGTGGCTTATAACAACACAAATTAGTCATCATATAGTCCTACAGGTCAGAAGTCAGACATGGCACTCACCGGGGCAAAATCAAGATGTTAGCAGAACTGCATTCTCTGGAGGATCTAGGAAAGGATCTGTTTCTTTGCCTTTCCTAGCTTCTAATGATCATTTATATTCCTGGGTTCATGGCTTATCAGAGACCTCTACAGAGGATCCAAATCTCCTGCTTGGTGCTCTGACACATGGTGAGAAGAAAGACAAGAGACAGCATTGAAGAGAGGGAAATGGGGAACTGGATGGCCAGTGCTTGAACAAGCAAAGACCCAGAACAACCAGAACCATGGATAATTAGTGGTGACACAGTCATTGTTAAGTTGGAGTCAGGAGGCTACATGTGGTTTCTAGGTATGCGTTGCTGATGCAGGCAAAACTTGTGAAAGAAGAGACAAAACATTCTTGTGTTAGGAACAGAACAGACCAAATATAGAGGGTGATTAATGATTAACTTTGTCTTTTTACTTGAGAAGGTTTTAATTCTGGGAGTGGAATTTTGGTGCAAGTCACTTTAACCTTGGGTACCTGTTATCTCATATTAAACCCCATAGCTACCTGGGCCATTTCTCTGGCCTCTGCCATGGCCATTGGTGGGGGTGGGGGTGATAGTGGTTTGGTACTGACCTGGGTACCATCCACAATGCTCCTATGAGTCATGTAGGCTTTGGTCAGACTCATTTCTTTAAACCAGCCAATTGTGGGGTTACCTCTTTACAGCCTGCACTGCTTATTGCTTGCTTTGGCCATAATCAACAAGGAAATCTCCCACAATGGCTCCTTCCTTCATCTCCAAAGTATCTCTCAGAGACTATCAGCTTGTGTTTGCATTGACTTGTTGCCTTCTCTCTGACCCTCCTGCTTATCTCTTAAGCATCATAACGATTACATATGGCCCATCTGGATAACCCCAAATAGTTTCCTCATTTAAAGATGCTTAATCTCATCTGAAAAAGAACTTTTCCATGAAAGATAACATATTTACATTTTGGGGGAATTAGGACTCAGACATATTTGGAGCATCTTTATTTAGCTTACTTACTTATTCTGAGTCATAGCGAGAAACGTATGTTACCTTTCAGCATGACCCTGTCCACATTTTGCCCATGAGGCTAAGGAGAGAGTGGTTGCTGAAAATATTAGTGGCATTAAATAGAAACCAAGGACTTTGCATCAGGAAAATAGCAGGGGTTGGTTTGTTGTATCAAGAGTAGAAAAGGCTAAATTGCTCTGAAAGACTTTGCTTTGAGAGGAGAGCCCTAGGATACCCTGTTCATGGAGGGTTTCCCAAGGAAGTATATTAGGAGTTCAGCCATCAAAGCACTCAGAGGCTGCTGTATCCCTCCTCCAAAGGGGACCCCAGCTACTGTTTGAGTTGGCAACACTTTTTGACATTATCCACAGAATGCTAGTTTTTCATGCATGCAGAATCCAAGAATTGTGGTGTTATGCAAAATGATTAATATAGTCCTCCTTACCTTTCCCCTTTGGGTGTGTAGACTAATAGCACAAATCTCTGAAGAAACTGCTCCTCTAGTTTTGGCTCATCTATGTATATTTCATTTCTAAAAAATATTAATGTTATTTTTCTTTGACAGACTGTAATTGTTTACATTTATGGGACACATTGTGATGTTTTGATATGTGTATATAATGAGATCATGTGCATGTGTACAAAACCAAAAAGCAGCTGATGGCACGGTGTTTATCTATCACTTATTTTTTGTTCGTTTATTTATTTATTTTTGAGACAGGGTCTCACTATGTAGCCCAGTCTAGCCTTGAACTTGTGTTCCTCTGGCCTCAGCTTCCCAAGGGCTGGGATCACAGGCATGTGTCACCCTGCCCATTGACTATCACTTTTTATAGTGAGAAATTTGACAATTACTCCCTTAAATATTTTGAAAAGTAGAATACATCATGACTAACCAGAGTCACACCACTGAGCAGTAGATCTCAAAGATCTTGAAATGGATTTCTCCTGTCTTTTTAAACTTCACACTCTGTAACCAGCAACTCCTATTCCCTCCCTCCTTCTCCCTACCACTTCCACTCCCCACCAGTCCCTAGGAGCCACCATCTCCTCTGTACTTTTTTTTTCTCTTTTGGTACCAGGGATCGAACTCAGGTCCTTGCACTTGCGAGGCAGGCACTGGAACCACTGAGCTAAATCCCCGGCCCTCCTCTGAACTTCTATGAGTTCAACTTTGTTGGATTCTACCTACAAGTAAGATCATGACATATTTGTCTTTCTATGCCTAGCTTATGTAGCACAGTGGTCTCCAAATACATTCATGTTAGAAGTGACAGGACCTTCTCTTTTTAAAGGCTGAATAGTATTCTGTTGTGAATATATACTGCATTTCCATGCCAATTTATGCATTGATGGACACTTAGGTTGTTTTCCTATCTTGACTATTTTGAATCATGCTAAGAAATACAAGAGTGCAGACTCCCTTTGA